TGTTTTGCAACATAACCCCCTGAAATGGATCCTGTTCCCATACCACACATGATCTTTTCACAGCTACACATTTTCCGATCGGCTGGCAGTTGATACCTTGCCTTTTTTTGCCTTGCCTTTGTTTACTTGTCTGGTCTGTGTTCCTGCTGCTAAATTGTAAGACGCAGCCAATTTCAGTAAAATCCTGGATACATACCACACAGCGGGTTTTTAGAGGGGTTTGTTTTTTTAGAAACTACTTGCCTCTTGATGATTTCACCATTAAACAAAGGGGGAAACAGATACTAAATCCTTCCACTGAGCCGAGAGGAGCTGAAACATCTGATGACTCTGTTTGTCACAAAAACACATTTTATATGCAAGTAAATACCTGACAAACTGTTTTAGTCATTATAGAAAAAGACTATCGTTTCAATCTGCAGTAATTTATATATTTATTTCTAATGTCTCTTTTATATCAAAGGAAGTTGGTAAAAAAAAAAAAAAAAAAGCTTTTAGGTTGCCTCCAAAGGGAATAGGTTATCTTTAAACGTCTGCTTCTTCCCATCTTTTCACTTATTCTAAAATCCTTTTTGGTCATTTCAAATCAGGTTGTTTATATTTTCATTGAATCGCTGTTCCTTTTACTTTCATATTTTTTTTTATTGTACTGCTCCAATGTCATCATTTACTCAGTGAGCAACTAATAATAATAATAATGATAGTAATACATTTTATTTGAGGGCGCCTTTCAGAAACCCAAGGTCACCTTACAAAAAACACAATTAATAAAAGGAACAGTAGTCATAAAATACATAAAATAAGTTAAAACTAGCTTTGTTTAATTTATATTTTTATTCAAATGTTATGCTACGTACTGTTTCATGTATACAGTTAAGTCCACACATTTTCGTATTTTGCCTCTGTACACGAACGCGGTGGATTTTAAATCAAACAGTCAAAGTGTGATTGAAGTGGAAACTTTCAGCTTGAATTCGAGGGGCTTAACTAAAATATTTCATTAACTGTGTAGAAATTACAGACATTTTTTTAATACAAAGTCCCAACTCAACATGTTACTGGACAATTGGCACGCAGTTTCATGGCCAGGTGAGGCCTCTTCTCTTGTTACTCCATAACAGATTAAGCAAGTAAATGATCTGGAAGGTATTTTAAGTGAACTTGCATTTGGTCTCTTTTCACTGGAATGCTCAATATGAGGGCCAACGAGATGTCTATATAAGTGAGGAAGGCCATCGCTCATTACTAGGTTAAAAAACAAAATAAACCAATTAAAGATTGCTAAAACTTTGGACTACAAGAATGTAGTGGCTGAAAGGCCTGAAAAGCCACCACAGAAGTTGTCCTTCTACAGTCGAGATGACAGAAAACATCTGAAAGAGCCCGAATAGATGTTTAAACAAACCTTTAGACAAACCAAGATTAACTTGTACCCGAATGATGGGAAAGAAAAGTATGGAGAACGAGAGACACAGCTCATGATCCGAAGCACACCGCATCGTCTGTCAAACATAGTCGAGGAGATGTTTTAGCACGGGCATGAATAGCTGCCAGTGGAAACAGATCACTACCGTCTACTGATGATGTGACTGCTGTGAGACTCATCAGGATGAATTCTTGAGCGTACGGGGCTCTACTCTCTGCTCAGAGTCAGAGAAATGACGTGAGCTTAACAGTGCAAATGGATGAGAGTTTCTCAAGGGAAAGCAAAGGGATACTCTTCAATGACCAAGTGAGTCATCTGATCTCAACCCAACAGAGCATGCCTTTAGTTATTAAATACAAAAGTGAATGCACAGAGACGAACAAACAATCCACGGCTTCTAGACTTTAGGGAGTCACTGACCGCAAAGGATAAATAAATAAATTATAAAGGGATAGATGTTTTACACGTGTGCAGCAACTTTAGGCCGGCTAAAGCAGCTTAAACAGGTATCAGCTGAGCCATCACCTGACCTGGTCTGGAGATCAGCGACAATAATGCTACACTAAAATATATTATATCATTTTGTATAACGTACAACATCCACTTTTTTATTGCCCTGTACTGATACACTGCTACGAAGATAACTTAAAGTATTAACGCCACACACTTTGGCTCAGTAAAAGAGAATGAAACTATCACCAGAAATGCTTTGCATGACATATTTTTATGTGCTTATGTTTGTGAAAGTGATATTTAAAAAAAACAGCAACATTAAAACAAAACCTTCTCAGCAAAATACTACTTACAGACTGCTGTGTGCCTGTTAGGCTTTACTGTGCTCACTGTTTGGGAGGTTTTTAGCCTTTATTGACACAGAAAAGCTCA